CACACACACACACACACACACACACACACACACACACACTAGACACACACACATACTTGCACGGGGTTTCGAACCGTTTTTTTTTTTCCTTATTCTTTTTTCTGTTTTCATTTTTTGTTACGCAATAGAAAACAACAATGTCCCCCAAAAAAATATGGGTGTGTAGGGTTGTTTTAGCCCTACACGCCCATATATATATATATATATATATATATATATTTTTCATATGTTAGAAAAAAAAAATCCGTCACCAAACTCGGTTGGTCGGCCGTGGCCGAACCTGGCCGATTTGGTCGTCGGCCGAGGCCGCGGCCGATTTCCCCCCCCCGTCGGGCGTGCAACATAGCCTGAGCTTGTTCCCCGCTGGGGTTCCCCATAACAGCTTTTGGGAAACCCTTTTCCTTCCACAACCATTGAATGTTCTTCATTCACAATTTAAGCTGTCTCGGAGGCGCCTTCAAGTCCTTGTTGTCCTTCGAGCTGACAAGAAAATACCCTTCGAACTCCTCACCCGAGAAGTAAACCATACCTACAGGCCACCTCTCGAAGTTGTACCTCAACCTGACGTTACTACCGAGCAGCGCCTTGGCTGCAGCCGCGTTGTGCTGACCAGAACAACGTAACAATAGTATTGGCCTGCCGACTCGTGCTTCCAGTCCTCTGGCTTCAAACGATCGGCCCGTACGCCGGACTCCGGTTTCTCCTGCCGGAGTGGCGCCAGCTTAAGGGTAGGCAGCTCGTACGTCTTCTCGGCCTGCGAGAAGGTCATCCTCATCGCATCAATGATGAGCTGTGTGCACGGGATCCAGCGACCGCCGGTTGTACGAGGCTTTTCACTCACCGATGCCGACGAACCGGGACGGGCTAATGAAGAATTCCCGCTTTCTCCGCACGCTGTGTTTCCATTCTAATAAGTACGTGACGTTGATGTCGATGGGCCCCTTCGACTCTACATCACCCGACTGAGGCTGTTTCTACGCAGACGTCGAGCGTTTCCCACTTGATGTGCCCTCTTGCCCCTCAACTCTCTTCCTTTTTCCCCCCGTCGTCTGGGCAGTCCTTGCCTTATGTTTCTTTGCAGAACCCACAACCTCTTCCTAAGGACCTCCCCTTCTCATCTGCGCAGGCTGCTGTTCACCCTCCTTGTCCCCCCCGGCTGACGTCGACGGCCGGTCGTGAACCGGGGTGTGTCCTTCCACCCGAGGAATACTGAGGACAGACTGGTTTTCCTGCCGAAGCAGCGAAGCCTGTGTCTGCTCTAGATCTTCGTCGTCGCTGTTGTCGAAGGGACCACGGGCCTCACCCCGGTGGTGTTGGGATGAAGGACCGGAACCCAAATCTCCCCCTTTCATGGGAGCACTGCTGGAATCGAGCCCGGTGCATATCTGAAGAGGCTGCGACAAGTGTTTGTCGCCTTGAACGTGGCAGGGTTCCTCCAGGTCGATGTTCCTCTGCTCCACCAACTCAAAAAATTTATGTGCCGAAACAACACCTCCCACTGCGAGATCTTGGTAGAAAGGGGTCTTCACAGCCCCCGCACCAAACCCCTGGAACAGGTCGAAAGACAAAACCCCCCCTTTGGAATTGGCAACAACGTTGCTCTTCGAACAGCAAACAGGGTGCACCTTATAATGTTGCGTGTTCTCCTTTTTCATAGGATGCCATCCGGCAACTGCCCGAAGCACTCTATGCCTTTTTTTGTCTTCGAGGAATATAACAGGACCGCACGGAGGTTTTGTCGGCTCGGAGTCATCACCGCAGCACCACTCAACAAACCATTTGGTATGTACATGATAGGACCACGATTTGGAGGTCCGTGACTCCCTCCCCGAGGTTCCGATAGGCTGCTCCTCGCCCCTTGATGTGGACATTCTGTCTGCACTTAACCAAGAGACCGAAACAACCCAACATACGAAAGACATAAATAACCCACCCCACTTAAGAACTTCGGTTTTCGAGGGACCAAATGTGATGCACCACCAAAAGAACATCAAACTCGTCGAATGCGCATAAGATCTCAGAATTGTTCAAGATCGAATGCGCACAAGTCTCCACATCCG